TATACCCTTAACAGCTGAAAGGGTTTGTATGAAATTTGACATAGATGTAGAGATAGTCTGGAAGAACACATAGGCTACTTGCTTTTATTTTAGTCTTTTTCAAATTCTTTATAACCTTCAATCTTAAAGCGGAAAAGGAACCGAGCGGTATAAAACGATTGTCGAGGCGCACCGCAGCGCTAGCGGCGCGTGCGCAGCGCGTGTGATCGCGCGCGCCGCACACCTCACACGCGCCCCCTCGCAATAACTGCACACTTCATACTCGACAATTGATCACTTGACTATCCGTATAGCACAATTATTTATGCACTGAAGATGACTAGGTTAGGTAATTGTATAAAATTAAAATTATTTTGCATATTTTTAATAGAAATAATAAGTGTACGATTGTCAAATTTATTTATTATGCCAAAATTCTTATCTTTCAATAAGTTTGTTTTAAATTAAGCTTGAAACATATTCGACGTTTACCGACTTTAAGACAACAAATCGACTGATTCGATTTGTAGTCTTCTTAAATCATAAAGTTATGGGCAGAGAGTAACATTAAAATAAATATAGAGGCGTACTCGACACTTCACTTAAATGAACTTAACGCCATCTATTGGCAGCCTCAAAAACATACATCAATGTAATTAATTGTATTTAAATTAATTGTCGATAGGTGTCATTAATTAATATTTACATGTTTAAAGTGGAGCTTATTATCATTTTGATTTTTTTTAATATTTGTTAATACAAGGGCATGAGGTGGCACTAAACTTGACAACTGATGTACCTTTTAAAGTATAGGTGAAGAAATTTTGTACACTATGCCAAGTCTATACTTTTTTTAAATATCTCTGATTATAGGGTGTTAATTTAAAATGTTTTAATGTTTATCTATACTAATATTATAAAGAGAAAAGATTTGTATTTTTGGTTTTTGTATGTATTGAAATAACTCGAAAACTTTTGGGCCGATTTAAAAAAATCTAACACCAATAAAAAGCTACATTATCAGTGCATAGACTATATTTTTATCTTGACGCGGACGAAACTGCGAATAACAGCTAGTTAGTAAATAAAACAAAGGTATAATATATAAACTATTATATCATTTATTACTTATATATATCTATTGGCTGGAGGCGGAGTGTCGGGAGTCAGGGTCGGAGGCGTCACGTCCTTCCCGCACCTCCCGCACCTCTCTTCCCTCCGGCAGCTCCAGCTCGAAGTCGTCCACTGCCATCGGAGTGTCTGCAAACACAAAACATTACATACATTCATCTGTATAAGGAATTTACAATTTATGTTACAGTCGTGGACGTTTATTTCCTAACCATTTTAGTAAATAAAAATATTTATTATAGTGTACACTTACAATGACACTAGATGGCGTTTACACAAACTTTCCGTCAAATCATCAAAGCGTCCGCGATCGCTTTTTTAATCTGTTACTGAAAAGTCACCAACGTCGTGTCGTGAGTGAAATTTAATTTAATTAACACAAATTACTAAATAGATAGAAAAATATCATAGCTTTTTCGAGTGAATACCCTTTTTCATTGTGGAGAATCAGCGTTTTTCATTTTTTGAAGACTTTCAGACTTGGATTAATAATTACATCAATCCTCTTTTATAACATGTAATATCTAAAATTGTAACTAGCTCTAGTACAAGTATCCTCTGCAGGCAGTCTGTTATTTTACTAGCTATATTTACAGCACGTACAAATATTTCTTTTATGACAGTTTAGTATTGACCTACAAGGATCATATAGCAGTTGGAAGTTGGTAGTAGATTTTGTGAAATTATTAGCCACTCTTTTTATTTTGAAATATATAAGTATTAATAGAGAAGTTAAGAATTTTTTTACTGGCAAATAAAAGCTAGCTGATGCCCCACTGTCAATGTAAAAAAACTGCTAAAAGATGTTTATAGGTGTAGAATATGAAAGGTGGTACAAGTGAGTGTGAGTACCGAGGTGGTCGAGGGTGACGCCGAGCGCGGCGCGCAGGGCCCGCGCGTGCGCGAGGTGGCGCGGCGGCACG